AAGAAGAGGAAACAAATCCTTGGTTTACCTCTGTCCATCAGTTTTGATCCAGTAGGCTTGTCTGGAACAGTAAGACGGTCTAGGTTGCTACTCAATGAAGATGTGTCATCACTACATAAAGAGTTCAAAAATCCACTCTCTGATGTGGCCAAGCTGTGTTCCTGGGCCTTACGACTGGTTGCCTCTGAGGGTGCAGGTGCGTGAAGCTGAACCGTGAAGGCTACAGACTGTCCCACAGCTTCAGCAGCAGACGAACTGTTAACTGTGTCAGTCCACGACCGTCTTTCTTTAGATAAGGAGGACAAGCTGCTGGCCGTCTTCACTGTGTTTTCCAGGGAAGAGAAAGAGCACGCCGCTCTTTCGCTCAATTCGGGTGAAGATGAAGTTGCCTGCCGTGCCGCCTATTTTGCACCAATAAAATTAAAAAACATAAACAAAAAAATCATGAGTAAACCAGCATCCTCTACATTTTATATTCAATGAAGATATCCCAGTGTTTCCAAAAGTGACCAATCATAAGAGTCAAAAGAAAAATATATATCTGTATGACAGGCATTCTGATGCCATGTTCCAAAAACTGATTTTCATAACTTTGAATTCACTGTTCTTGGATCTGAAAAATCTCCATATCATCATTTACTCTATTCTTTAATAGGGTAAGTTTGCCCTATTCTTCAATGCTGTCCAGAAACTTAACAGACTTCTTTGGAAAACTCTTTAGAAAACTGAAGGATACTTTGAGCAAAAAGCAGATTGCGATCTCTCACTGAGTTCTTACTGATTGAGCAAAAACTCTTGAAAAAGGTGATTAAGACAAAGAAAGCAAAAGCTGGAGCCAGACAGGAAGCAAAACCTTATTAACTGAGTGGAGACCAGTGATGTGGACAAAGCACATATATTTCAACCTTCAAACATCTTTGACGTATGACCAGTATCAGCTCATAACTACATAGTTAGGTGAAATAATTTAAGTTGTTAGTCTTCAAGACTTTTAAAACTTTAATAAACTTTCACTAAAGAAGACAAGGATACCTTTGCAGGTTCCAAATTCATTAAAGGGAAACAAAAACACTGCACCACAGACTATGTGAAGCAGGCTGATAATGTAAGCATTTCCCAACACACAATCCAAGGGTGAATGGCTCTCCTTGGCAACATCTCCATCAGTCCATGGAGAAAACATCAGTGCAACATCACCAGTTGTCCTTTCTTGGGAAAAGTTTCACTGATTCTGAGATTTAACCTTGTTAACATTTAGATATCAAAATATACTTGGAAAATGGTGGTGGTAGATATTTGCTCTTATCTTCTTGGAGTTTTGCTTTTGTTTTTGTTGATACCATTG